AAATGTAGAAACTTATGTATTAAGTTGATGAAAATTAAGGCTTGATATATAGCAATAAAACCAGCAACCTAAAGCTTTCTAGATTGATGTTCATAGCATAATATTTTTTTGTCAAGAATTAGGTGGAATGAAAGTCTATAAAAATAATACATGGTGCAAAGCTTTCTCTTCTTGTGCATAAATGGAAAAAACAAAAAGCTAAATGAGATAACAGAAAAGGAAATACTGAGATTTACCTGATGTCAAGATAAAAATGGCAATATCATTATTGAGTAATGGTACAAAGTGGAAAATTAGGTCAAGTGTTAGAGGAGAGTAAAATGAGTAGTGTTACATCTGAATCAAAAAGGCAGTCATAGCTTTAACTTAGTACTGAATTCAATGTACAGAACAAAACCAACTTTGGAAATTTTTCTTTGTTAATTTGAATTAACTACATGTAGAAAACTTGTTTAGCAGTTTAATTAATCAAGTCATTTTGCCCAAATAGCGAACACAGTCAGTGTTAGCATCTGGGGTGTGCCTTTATACAACGTATACGCATTTAGGATGATTGTGGCATGTTGCCAGAAATAAGTTCACTGTCTGAAGTTGCTGTTCACAAATTGAGTTCCTATTATCTCCCTGAAAACTTGGGAGACTCTTTGGATATTGATGTTAAGGAATAAAGTGGTAAGAGGACGCACTCCCTGATCTCCCTGCTGAAAAATCACCTCGTTCGTTTATAGCTTCAAGTTTTGCAGCATGACCTTAATAGTATTGGAAAGCTGGTTTATTTGTATAGGAAAATGAATTGCATGCTAGGAACAGATCTCAGTAAACAGTCTACCGCTCAAGGTAGACTCTCAAACGTTGTTATCCCCATGTGTCAAACAGTCGTCTAGTGTCCTGAAAGAGTTAAACTCAGCGTGGCAGGGATTTTACTTGTTTTGGATCAGGCCCATGGATGGGCCTGGAGTACATCCAAAGGGAAAGCCAGGAACAGATGAAATCACACACTTCCCTTGCACACTATTGCAAACACACTTGCTTCAAGAATTGATTGGAGCCTGAGCTTCTCAGTCTGAAAAGCAGTATCTTCTAGAAAACATCTAATCACTGTAAGAAGCCGAGAAATACCAAGTAAGTTCTAAAACCAATAGCCACTAATAAAGATGTAATTTCAATTCTCAGACTTTCCATGAAGTGGAACGCTCAGTTAACTGACGTTTGTAGACAGGGCCAACTTCATGGGTATGTGACCTGTGCTGTCACACAGGACCCGCACTTGGTTTAATGCTCTTCTGTCACCATCTCAGAATTCTTAATACATTTTTAACAAGGATCCCCACATTTTCATTCTGCTGAGCCACACAAATTTTATAGTCAGTCCGGTTTGTAGCCCTTACTACTGTTATGACACCTTATGTTTGTAAATGAAATTTGAGGCACTATAAACTCTAAAATGCCTTGTGAATCTTTTAGGGATGATCAAGGTTGCCATTAGTATAATATTTCTGCTTTTGTAAGATTTTTATTGAACTTCTATAATGTGCCTGGCACCATGCTAGACTTAATGGAAAATAAAAATGGAAACGACAAAGGTCTCTGCCTTCAAAGAGGCTTTTATTCTAGTGTTAAGCATTTGTTATATATATTTCTGGCTTTTGAAAATTGGAGATAGTTGCATACAACTGATTGTCAAATCTGAAAAGTCTTTTCCTCTATATGTGTGTGAGGCAAATGCGTAGTGCGAAGGAGCTCAATGTTCATGAAGAGGTATTTGTAGATGATCATTTGCAGATGATCATTTTTTCCTTGTTCAATACACACATGGTATTTGGAGATGATCCTTTTTTCCTTGTTAAATACATATAGATGTAACCATGCTGGATTTTAAATACTCAGAAGTTTTCCTTTATACTTTTGATTGAAGAGAATTGGCTTGCTTATTTGATTTTAAAACTTATTCTAGAAAAAAATTTAAGATGAAATTTCATAAAAAGACAATTTCTAAAATACCACCATATATGGAAATTAATGCTGACACTTAGCGTTTTTGTCTAGAGCAAGGAAAGTGTTCTCTTAGCATGCTTAACCTGATGGTGGGGAAGTTGTTACCTGGGCCAGTTTCCCTGGTTGGGCATGGTACCCAGGCCATTTGTTGCAAATGAAGAAGGTAAGAATTTCACAACAGCCCATGAGCCCACTGATAATCAGCCTATTTGCATTTTGTCATATCTATCCCACTATACATATCTTACCGACTCAAGGTCTTGAAAATTATCTCTATAAGTGTCGTTCCCAACACCTAAACTGAGTGCTAGAAGTGATGTGCCATATTGCCTGATGTGAATTCATCTAGGGCATAGACTTAAATAGACTATACATGTATTATAGGAAATATTAATAAACTAATATGCTGTGGTTGATTAAAGCATCTCTCTAGATCAAATTTAAGAGTTGAGGTTCATACAGAAACTGGAATGATATGTAAAAGAAACACTGGATTTACCACATGATGAAAACATTTCAAATGATAGAAATCATTCCTTAATAAGTTGCATATTAAGTGTTATTTAATAAACACCTTGAAAAATCAACACTTTATGAAGCCTTAATCCCAGACATAGAATTATTTCTCTTGTAATGATCCTCTTATCTTAAAACTCAAAATTAAGGAAATGCAAAATTAGTCTGTCCGTACATTTTCTAAATACATCATTAAATCATCACTGTTTTTTCCAGCATTTAACAGGACCCCTTTTGACCTGAAAACATATGCGTGACTTTCTCAACTTCCATTAGTCTTCCTAGGAGTTTACAATAAAATAATCAGAAGAAATAGGTATGTGCTTTTGCAAGCAAGAGTAATCAATTTTTAGTGCCTCTCTATCTTTCCGTAGGATGTGAATGTATAAGTATTTTTGTTACATTGTTGAATAAGGTAAGGTAGTATCCAATCATCTGATAACTTGCAATCATCATTCCTCTTAAAGGAACAAATCTCGCCTTCTAAAACAATGACTGAAAGCAAAGCTTTTTATATTTTGCATACCTGAATAAATATATTGTTATGAAATACATACGCATGGTTTCGTCTGTATAAATATACACCAATAGTAAAAAAAAATAAAGTTGATCCTCTGCCTTTATGAGTAATAATAATTAAAAATAACAGCTAACATTTTACAGAGTTCGAGTCTGATATTTTGTGGTGCTTTATTGATTATCAGCACTGTCCATCATTACATAAAAAGTAAGTGCTTTGGAAGAAAAAATTGAATAAGGCCTTCAAGACTTCAGCTTTGTGCTGATGCTCTGTCAATACCTCAGTTCCCCGTTCCTTTGCCTTTCTGAACTAGGTTTATTTAAGCAGTCTTGAGTGTTCTTGCATATTGACTAAGGAAGCTGAAATTGATGGAAACAAGGTTATTCTTTAGTAAGCTGACAGTTTGAGTCCTTGATGTTCAATGGAAAAACCAGAAATGATGCCCTGCCAGAAGAAAGCAAATTAAGGAAGTAAAGTGAGAAAGAAAGCTAGCTACAGAAAATCATTGTTTACATTCCAGTGACAGGAATTTTTAATTGTGGAGCAGCTTTGAAAGCTAGTTTTGTCTGTGATGGAAGCAAAGCCAATTTTTACTGCAAAACAGATTGACAGAGGCCAGACATCATTACTATTTGATGGCTATCCCATGACCTAGATAAAAAAAAGTCCCAGAACAGGTTTCCTAGTGGACAAATGTCCACTTTACCAACGGCCATCTCCTAAAACAGGGCAACAACTGAATGAGTGATGAAATGAGTTTCAAGTTAACATCTGAGCAACCAGTCTTCAACTAACAACACCATATCCTGTATTTGCTACTCAATATTTGTACTTTTAAAGAACTTGTCAGAACTTTTAATTTTAACCTCAGAGTTTTAACCTTACATATTAGCCTACGGTGCTTAACCAACTTATGGAATTAATAATAGTTTTGTTCTCCACTATCCCTCATAGGAAGAATTATTAGGCCTAATTTATTTGTAGTGTATTGGAAAGACTCTTTTTACCTTGAATTTTATGAAATATGATAATGGGGTTTTTAAAGGTACTTTTATTTTTTTCTATTTTTTATTTGTAAGCATGCAGAGCCCAAGTTAAAGAAAAATATACCTCAAAGTGTGCAAATATCTGAAGTGGTTTTTGGGTTTTGTTTTTTCAGTGGTGTTGGAACAGCAGGGTGGGAGCAATATATTTGATAATTTTCAGTGTAATTAAAAATGAGACTATTATTCCTCATGACAAAACTCAGTAATATTCTAATGAGAATGTTTGACTGCTCATCCAACACATATGATATTTGAGATATAGTTTCCAAATAAGACCAAACAGTATTGCTAGACTCTAGGCTCTGCTGTGGATCCACTATTGGCTGACTTGATGTTATCATCTATATTTCCAGTGCTGAGAATAATTCTGAGCTCAAGAAATATTTTTGATGAATGAATATGTCATGCAGTGGCATCTTTTGAAAATAATGATAGATTTGAATCTGAACTTAAAGATCCTTAATTCATGTTTCTGGTATTTCTTCTCAGCTCCTTGGAAAGGATTTAAGGTTTACCTATGAGCCTTATACTTTTCAAACAAATGTTTCTAATGAAGTCGCTTTTGCTTTTGTCAGCTTTCAAGGGTAGACCTGTGTAGTGGGAGGTATAGTACTATATACTATCACAGTTTTTGAGTGAGACAAACCTAGATTCTGACCCCAGTTCTGCTATTTACTACCTGTGTGCTCAGGGCAAGATATTTATCCTTCCTGATGTTGAGTTTTACCATGCATAAAAATAAGAATAAGAATCTAAGTCCTTAATGGAGCAACTAGTCAATAGACCTAACATACTGTCTAGTGCATAGCAGGCACTCAAATTACTTAATTAGATCATTTATGAGTCATTATTTTTGAATGAGTAGCAAGTAAAAGGCAAGTGGCTACAAAGTTTTGATCATTTTCCATTTCTTGTTTTGCCAGACGACGACTTTTTTCACGAACTCCCAGAAACCTTTCCATCTGATCCACCTGAGCCTCTGCCACATTTCCTTATTGAGCCTGAAGAAGCTTATATTGTGAAGAATAAGCCTGTGAACCTGTATTGTAAAGCCAGCCCTGCCACCCAGATCTACTTCAAGTGCAATAGCGAATGGGTTCATCAGAAGGACCACATAGTAGATGAGAGGGTAGACGAAACCTCTGGTGAGTTTTCCGTTGCATTTGGGCTGCTGCTGAGTATTCATTTACTCACTACTTTAGCGTGTTGTCATACTGTTCTTTCAATTAGTGAAACTGAAAATGGAGTTATTATCCTTTGGCAAAAAATTTTGAATCAGTTTGGTTAAGATTTGGTTATCTCGTTCCATGCATTGCAAAGTAAAATGTGATGAATAAATCTTGACTTGATTCCCGTTGGACTACATGCAATTAAAACATGGTTCATGCTTAAGAGATAAATAATGAGAATGAATAGACTGAATTAATGGTAAATGCACCATAAAAGATGCCTTTGAATTTCACTTGTGTGTCAAGTCTGGTGTCAGGTCTAAATATCCTGAGATTGGGGAACATGTTCAACTAAGGAAAAATTGCACTTGTTTACATGACAGTCAAATGATAATTCACATGCATAATTCTCCCTTATATTTTTTAAACCATTTGTAAATATTGTATATTCAAAATATCCTCTATCCTTAACTTACATCTAAAAATGAATCTTAATTACCTAATTTTTAGCTAAAGTTAAATCGAGAGTGATTGAGAATAGTGATAGTGTGAGATCTAGGAAGAGAAGTGTTGAGTGTAGCCACAGTCTGGGTGGGTCTTCATTAGAGTATCTTTGCTTCTGGCATGGTTAAAATTCCTAACTGTGTTGTTCTGTAAATATCATCCTTAACAGTAAAATGCTAAAGGCATAGAGATGATGAAGTAGATGTTAATAACCTGTGGGATTTAGATTGGCTATAAAGGAAACTTTCTTGACACCAATTTTTTACTCCATGATGGGTAACTTAAGGTAGTTGTAGAATCTCCTAGAGTTATTTTAAATTGGAAAGATATATATCTTTCTACAGTGGTTTATGTGTTTTTGCTCTCCAGCAGGAAGAATAACAATTTGAACTTTCAGATCCCTTCCAGATTTATGATTTTATGATATTAAAACACATGTTTTAAATGTTCACTTCATTGATCAATATTTCCAAGCTAAATAGTGACAAATATGACATAAGTGGGAACATTTAAATATCTTCATTTTCTTTCATAACTATCTATACATACTAAAATGGATACACATTTTCAAAATCCAAATTGTAATTAATTCCTATTTGTATCCAAATAATGGATTAACCAGGAGCAAGCAGAGACCAGCACTTGAGGGGGATCTGCATTCACTGTCTCTAACAACGTAAAGAGCATATTGAGGTGATGGGACATAAAAAATAGAACAGACTGAGAGAGGCTGGGAAGAGGCATCTCTTTATAAAGCATATGAGGCATATACTTATAATGACACAAAAAAACCAGGTGGCAGCTCCATATAATTGTTTGTCAATTCGTGAATCAATATACTCACTGCATGCAAGCTGAGGACTGTAGAAAGAACTGGGTATTCAACTGTACAGTAGCTTACTTCAGGGAATTGCCCCACCTCTTGGTCTAATTACTCAGAAAATAATTCCACCAGATGTCTCCAAAATCTCAAGTGAATTGAGTTTTATTTGTTTCAGCTCATTTATTTGTAAGGATTTCAAACACACAAGTTTTAATGGTAAAAGAATAAAGGAATAAATCACAAAAGCTAAAATGAAAGTCACAAACATATTTAGGCTCATCTTTACTAAATTAATGAAAACTCCTATATAGGAAGATTAGAAATAAAAACAAAACTGCTTTGATATTGAGCACCTCTGCCAGCTCTGTTGGTTATATATATATGTGTGTGTGCGTGTGTGTGTATTTTTTTAAAAGACCTTTTCTTTCTGTAAAACATTATATTTTTTTATTTCTACATAAAATTAATTAATATTGCATATGCTAATGATTCAAAACACATTTTAAAGCAACTATAAATGAAAATATATGGCATGTTTTCATTGAAATTCAGGATGGGATAGATGAGAGCTAAGGGAAGATTTGGCAACCCCAATACTTGCACAGTTCTCCTAAGATTCATGGATTGAGTGGAAAGAAATATACCTTTCTGTTGTCTTTCATTTTCACTCAAAACTTTACAAGAAAGCTAGCATCCAGATGAATGTATTACCTTTCAAGTTAGGAAAAAGACAAAGATGCCCATAGATACCAGTATTATTTGGTATTGTTCTTAATGTACTGTCCAGTGCAATTAGACAAGACAAATAATTGACAAGAAAAATATAAAAATTGTAAAGAGAGTGGAAAAATGATCATTTTTGACAAATAGTATGATTTTGTATATCTGGAAAACATACAGTTTCAAAGGAAAAAAACTGAAAAAACATCAAGAGAATACAGAAATATAGCTGATAAAAAATGTATATAACCCATCAACTTTTCTAAGTATAGGTAGCCAATTCAAATTATGGAATGGAATAACATATATCTTTCATAATAACAATGTAAAAGAAAAAAATGTAATTAGAAAGGTAAGAAATTTACAGAATTTTAGAAAGAAAAAAATTTAAATTCTACTTAGAGACAAAAAATTATTTTCTACTTGAATAAGTAGAAAGACAAATCTTGTTCTTGGATAGAAAGACAGTATTTTTTAAACATTTGTTAATTATGAATGAACCATAAGGTCAACAGCATTGTATGGAAATGATTTGTGAGAGTAACCGGAAGAATTCTGAAATAGTACTGTATGTAACGAGAGAACTCCAGCTCTTACAAATATATTACAAAGCTAAAGAAGTTAAAAGAGGATAAGACACACAGGTTAATGGATTCAAACAGAGACCAGGAAATACTCAAACACCTAAGGCATTTTATAATGTGACAAAGTTGGTTTTTAACCCACAAGGTAGGCAGTTGGAAAAGTAAAAAATAAACAAATAAATAAATCTTGGATTCTATCCCATTCTTCAGAATAAAACAAATTCTATATGTTAGGACTTAATGTCATCATCATTATCATCATCATCATCATCACCATCATCACTTGGAAAAAATTTTGGAAATTTGTTGGTTGGTTGGTTGGTTTCAGTGATGGGCAAAGCCTTTTTAATGATGACAAAATCAAGAAGCCTTATAAGAAAGCATCATTAAAGGAATATCCAAAGCAAGAAAACCACAAACCCAAGGGACAGACCAAAAAAAAGCCCCAAAACTGATTATGTCTGTGGACAGAGATATATATATATATATATATATATATATATATATATGGCCGGCTCCGTGGCTTGGCGGTTAAGTGCGCACGCTCTGATGCTGGCGGCCCCGGTTCGGATCCCGGGGGCGCCCCGAGGCACCACTTCTCCGTCCAACGTGAGGCCGAGTCCCACGTACAGCAACTGGAAGGATGTGAACCTATGACATACAACTATCTACTGGGGCTTTGGGGGGAAAAAACTGAATAAATAAAATCTTTATATATATATATATAGCTCTTAAAATATATTTAAGGAAAAGATCAGCAACCCAATAGAAAATTGGGCAGAGTTTGAACATGGAGATATAGCAAAAGAAATGCAAATGGTAAATAAGCATCTAAGAAGATGTTGTCAAGATCAAAGCAGTTGTTGGTACAGTGCTGATAAAGGAGTGGGTTAGGGAATATCCTGTACTTGGTTGATGAGGTCGCACATTGGTACAGTCTTTTTGAAGGCCAATTTGAAAATATCTGTCAAAAAATTTAAATGTATATACCCTTGCATTCAGTAATTACAAATTTAGGAACTACCTAAAAATACAATTCCAAATGAGCGCAAAGACTCTCGTTCAAGGTTGTCCACTGTACCCTTGTTGCAGTAGCATATCGAGGACTATTCATTCCCAGGATGGAACACTGTGATGCTTTTTGAAACAATGAGATTTCTCCACATGTGAAGGTGTAGAGAAATCTCTCAGATAAAATTTAAAGGGAAAACCGAAGTACAGAACACTGCATGGAATAGGTCCTCATTCTGTAAAGAAAGAGGATGCACATATATTTGTCTACGCATTGGGATTTTCTGGAGAAATATACAAGCAGTTGACAGCTCAGAATCTGGGGTGATAGGAGACTTCTTTTATTGTTTGATTATTTTCAATCCTGTGAATGTGTTATTTTCATGTTGGAGATAAATTTGTAGGCCTCTTATATTACAGCTCTTTGCTTTCCTGTGAGATCAGAAACATTAGGAGGGGAATTGAAATTGAACTTCTTGGGTTTTGGCTTTTTTTCCTCTGAAGCTGGATTCACCTGCAACTTTGGTCCTCAAGTCTCCACTTAATGCAATCTGACTATAGTCTTGTTGGGGACTTGTTGTTCTTAATAGCAAGGAATGTTAAAATACATTAAGTCTTGAAATATATTACAAATCAGAGAAATTTTCTTGGCATTTTGAAAATCAAATTGGTTCTCAGAGGATAGGAGAGAGAGAAGTCATTGCAAACAAGCTCGTTTCTTTAGATACCTCTGCCTTAGAATCATGATATTTGGAAGCATGGTTAGTAACAATCAGATGCATTGCCTTGCATCTAAGAAAAATCAACCACATTCAATTAAATCTCCATCAAAAGTACCTTCACACTGAAAAACTACAAAACGATAAAACTGAAAAAAAGAACAAAAGTTCTTCTCCAACTCCCTAAATTCTTCCTTTTAAATTATGAAGACGTTAAAAGACTCTCTTGCTCTGAAGTATGAAGCAAATGATTATTTGTACTCACTGAGAAAACTATACCATTGATCATAAAATGTGCTGATTTAAGATGATTCATTTTTGTTACTGTTTGCCTTTCCATCATTTAAAATACATTTGCATTTCTTGCAAATATGTAATATAAGAAAGAGAAAAGTGGAAAGCAGTATATTTGAGATGGTTTAGAAATTTTCAATATTCAGAAGCTCTTGATTGGGTAATATAGTAATAAGTACCTATGTTCCTTCAGAATTCCATAGAAATCTTGATCTGCTCAAAATTTTATGGTTACATTTTTAAGAAAAATTCAGGCTTGACTGCTTGCTTTCTATTTACTTGAAGTCTTTTCAACCCTTGTTTCCATGGTACCTAAGATTC